TCCCAGCCCATGTTTATTCGCTTTCCTTCTTTTCTTTAACACTCGAGATTGTTGCCTTGGTCTCATAACTTTCTCCTCCTGATCATCCATTGACCATCTGGTCATTTGAGATTCTGGACTTCCATTGCTGTCTCTTCTCTTGCCCATGGAGGTCTTCTATGACTTCTTGTCATTGGGTGCCTTGTCTTTCTGTATTCTTTTCTTTCTCCCTTGCCCCCAGATGGAGATACATGCAGTTCCACCTGTTTCTTGGGACCAAGTTGCCATCCACTGGGATACTCAAATATACTTTCAACATTCCCCAAGCGAATCTATCCTTTTATTTATAGCCCTTGTGACTTGCATTTCTCTATGAACAACACTGCCATGCTTTGCTGTGCCCTTCCCCCAGCCTTGAGCAGGCCTGAGAGATGAGACCTTGTTTACCACAATAGACCAAACAATAGGACTCTGGAGGCATTGCCTGCCTTGGCATTGCCTGCCTTGGTGCCTCCTTGGCTGTTTGTAGCCTGGTACACAAGCTGAGAAGAAAAGACTGCCTGCTGAGCTTGCTTTGACATCTCGGGCCCTGCAATTAAGTATGGATTCCTCTCACCTCCAGCAGGATGGTTTCCGCTCACCCCTAGCCTCACCCCCAGCTGGCTAAAGCAAGAAGGAACTCTGGGGGTGGGGGTGGGTTATCCCCTTTAAATTGAAAGTTGAACATTAAAGCACAGAGCCTCGATCAGAAACCTTTGTCCTGGCTTCCCGCCCTCCTGTCCCTTCTTCCATTCCCAGCTTCTCTTTCAGGTGAACCCGGTCGACTGTGGCCAATGGCCCACAACACTTTGCCAAACAGGCAGCAAGTCCAAGTAATCCTAGACTCATTTGCTTTCAGAATCTCTTCTTTGTATCCCACGCCCAGGCTCATTGCTTTCTTTCCTTTCCACACGCTCTTTCTCTTGATGCCACATTAGATTCCCTTCTTGTCCCGTCCACTGGGTCTGCTGCAATGACTCTTACTGTTTGGCCTGTTGCCTCTGCTTTCACCTCATGCTTCAGTCTCCACACTCTTCACTACCATCACTTTCTTTTGATAGATAGGGCTTGGCAAACACCTCCTGATTTCCTCCACTAAAGCACATGCCTACTGCTTCCAATCCAGTTCTTGGTCCACTTGAGGATCCTCTTATGTACAGTAATATCTCAACACTCATGTCATCTTAACCTCTGACCCAAAGGTACCTCTCAACACACCCCTAAACACATCAGCTATTCATATTAACACAAGTAAGCTTCCAGCATTTATCATTTGTATTTATGTACATAAATACATAGCCCGTGGGGGCGTTTTGCAAACCAAATCCCTAGAACTTTGTCAATCCATCTAAAAATCCACCTGAACTGTTTTTCCTAGATAGTTTGGAGTTAAATAAAAGTATTTCAAGCAATCTGGTGTTGGGAGTGATCTCCCCATCTTTAACTCTCTTATTTTGAAGCAGAAGCCCTATGGAAGACACAAAGGCACAATTTCTATCCCTGAATCCCATGTGAGATACTGAGAGTCTCTCTAAGAGAGACGCAGAAGAGGTAACTGTGGAGAGTTTAATAAAGGGACAGACCACAAATATTTGGAAAAGCTTATATGAAATCAATCACAGAGGGTAGAAAGAACTGTTTCTAGAGCTCAACCAGAAGAGTATATGAAGGACAGGGCATATGGTAGGAACGGTGACCTTCTATGGAGCAACAAGGTCACCGTGGTTCACACCTAGAAAGCTGAAATCTAGAAGAACATTGGGTTTCCTGTTTGATCTCAGATTGATCCCCATCAATGGACATACCCAAGCAACAGCTCCAAGCAGGAGGACCTGACTAGTGCAGGTGCTTGGGGCTCAGGCACGGGTAGGGAAGGAAGTGTAGGCCTATGGGATGAAACGGAGAACATCTAGAACTTGGTGTCACCTCTGACTCCTGAGTATCACTCTTTAGGACCCAAGTTTCTTGTGCCTAAAGCTACCTGTCTTGCTCAGCAGCCGTGTGCCATATCATGAACCAGTGAGAATCTTTGCCTCTGGGTGGTGCACAGGTCTAATTGCTTTCTTCCTCCTTTTCTTTTCTCTGCCATCTCCACACCAGGGAGGCTCCTCCCCCCATGTCTCCTCTCTCTGCTACTCATTTTCATGCTGTAATAAAGTTACTGGGTGGTACATAAGCACTAGTAGGCAGAATTAAATCACACACTATTTTTAATTAACTGTACTACAGCTTAAAATTTGCATAACATTGTACTATGTAAGCAGTAAGAACTTCATAATGAGAAAGCTGGTTTCATTCTGGAAGCAAATACCATTGGTGTGAGTGACTGGTGCATTTTCTTGGACAGAGCATCCAAAATTCTTATTCTCCTTTGAGAGAGGTCTCCAGTAGGCAGGACTGTGTGATGGAACTCTCAATGGCCCCGCCCTTTCTCAGCATTATCTTACACTCTTCTTCTCATTTGTTGCTCCTGACTGTGATTCCCCACTCACATCCCTCACAAGGCTATTATCAGTTGTCACTAGAGGAGATGAGGGTGGGGGATAATCACGGAGGGAGCTAGGACTTGAGGTGCTGCTGGTGACAAACAGTGAGGTAGCCTCTACTCAGCTGGGGAGGGTTAATAAGAAGAGAAAATTGAGAAAGACAGAGCAGGAAAGGCAACCTTTCAAAGTCAAGCAGCTACAGGCTTATTCAAGTGTGTATACTTTATAAGCCAACTGGTGGAAGGTCACACATTCAGAAGAACTGGGTAGCACAAATTGGATTTTATGGGGAATTGCAGCGGGACACTCATAGTTGAATGGTAAGAGAAATGGGTTGAATCTGGAGGGAACTGAGGAAGGAGGGTAAATATAATCAAAACACGTTGTATAAAATTCTCAAAGAACTAACAAAATTGGTCAGGATGTGGTCTGGAAATGCTGTGGGGTGGCTGATGTTCTTCAGCACAGCTCCAAGGGCAAAGAAAGCCTGTGAAGGTTGACTAAAGAGTTGTTCGGAGTTTAGGATCTACAGAATCCAAAACAAACTGAAATCAATAGAGCTTTCCCTTGAAAACCTTTAAATAGCTTCTTGACATCATTCCTTTGCCTAATATCTTGGGAAACTATTTCAGTAGCTCTCCTTGGAAAACTTTTTGCTTCACTACTGCCCTGTAGATAGACCTGGACCAGCAATAAGTGTGCCACACAGGTAGTGTTGGATGGGTGTGCCCACAGGATATGTACTGGTTGCCTTCTTTATGTACCTGTGTGTATGTAGGAGGGCAGGTGGCTCCATCACTGTAGAATCCTAGACTGTAAAGCAGTGATGGACTCCTGTAAATATTCAAAAGTAAGTGAGCAATGCTGAGTTTAGGCAGAACATAGGCTGACTTTCTGACATTAGAACAGAAACAAGTTATCTTAGTGTTCGAATGCCGTAAAGAGACACCATGACCACAGGAACTCATAAAGGAAAACATTTAGTTGGGATTGGCTTATAGTTCAGAGATTTAGTCCATTATCATCATGGTACATAGCATGGCAACATGCAGCAGACATGGTGCTGGCAAAGGATCCCAGAATTCTATATCTGGATCAGCAGACATAGGAAGAAAGAGTAACTTTGGTCCCTCACTTGAATTTCTGAAATCTCAAAGCCCATCCCTAGTGACAAACTTCCACCAACAAGCCACCCATACTCCAACCAGGACTCATGTCCTAACCTTTTCTAATAATGCCACTTCCTATGAGACTATGGGGGCCATTTTCATTCAAATCACCACATGTCGTTTGCTAAGGAGACACTGGCCCATTAAATGTCCATTTATCTTGATTCCCCTTTCTAGTCCTGAGAGCAGCATTATCCTGGTTCTGGGAACACATGGATTTTGTCAATTGTGTTGGACTCAAACAAATACAAAATCTAAACTCATTTTCCATGTTTTTCTCACATTGTTGATTTGGTAGAGAGAACTAAAGAGAGCTGAGCTTCACAAGTACAGTTCTGCAAGATGAGAGGTAAGCACTGTGCAAATTCCATCTCTTCCGTATTATAATCTACAGTTCTCTCCTGGGGTTTCACCACACATTTGGTTATCTGGGTATATTCTTTCTGAAAGTTATATCTGCCTATATCTCAGAACATTTTGAATACTGACTGAGCGAACACAAGTTTCCCCAGGGCAGATGGATACAATTTTGTGTGCGTGCACATGTGTATTCCATGGCAATCATGTAGAGGTTAGAGGCCCACTTGCCTGTGATAGTTTTCCACAGTGTGAGTCCTTGGGATTAACCTTAAGTTGTCAGACTTTTGGCAATTTCCATTACTTACAGAGTCATCTCACAGTCTCCTTCATTGGAACTTCAAAAGACAAGCCATCTCATCCAAACACACATTGGTAGTGTCCAAATCTCACAAAACTGAGGTGTTGAGAGTTGAGATAATCCTTCACTCACCTGCTAAGACTAGATACCCACTCTCTCTTGACCAGATTTAACATCGTTCTCTAGTTTTTGAGATTCCCTTCTTATTCACTACCTGAGAAAGCTTGTGGAGAGCTTTCCCTTGGTACTGAGCATTGGATATGACATTGGTGCCTGTGTTCTGGTTACATGAGCACAACCAAGGCCTCTGTCTGAGCTCAGTGGAATAGAACAATGTGGCTCACTTCCTTTTCATCCTTCTTGCTCAGCCATGGGATCTAGAAATCCATAGCCTGACTTGTACCTCATGTTGCATGTAGTTACTTAAAAAAGGGAGAGATCCAATGAAGGCTTTCTAAACCCTCTGAGGCTGAGGAACAAAGATCATACTCACCAGAAGGAGATGGAATATGGACTCATTTAAGAAACAGGGCTCCAAACAATATTTCAGCAATAGTACTTAAAAGCTTGTTCAAGATTTTTAAGATTTCTTGTACCTGCATGTCCACAAATCCAACGCCATTCCCACCCCTCATTGCTCGAAGAAGGATAAACACAGAAACAGCTTACTGTAAACTGGATTTGACAGCCACCCATGATGTAGTCCAAGAAGGAATGCATCTTGTGGATCTGCATGAGAGAGGGCCTGGATTAATAACAATATAATCTGCTTTCCCTGCAGACTGAAGAGATAGGCTGCTAAGCCAAGGCAAAGGGTAGAAAGAGATCTGTGGTAAGCCTTCAATGTCAGTACAGATAGGCCCAAGACATCTGCAGATTCTCACCCCTTGCTCCCCCTTGAGTCTATGTATTGCTTTAATTGACATCTGCCCTTGGTTTAAGACCCAAACCATATTTTCAAGAGTCATCACTGTTTTAGAATAGGAATATCTTATACTTAGTCATTTCTCCAACACCACTTGAGCATCTTCCACTATATCTGCTCTGAGCACAGAAGAGCCTGAGTTATGACCTTCACTTTTTTGTCCTTTGAGACAAGACTGTCCCAGAGAAGAGGAAGGTGACATTGGGCTGTTACAGGGTTTAGGCCACTCATGATTATATTTGGTTTCCTTTGTCCAGTGTTATACTGATTTTATACATTTTTTCCCTTTGAGAAGATCACTCTTCTGCTTTGATTACATGACTTGAAGTCCTCCCACAAGACAAGTCTAGCATTAAGCTCCTGGCAGAGAGGGGATCACACATACCTTGCACTGATTCAGAATCACCATGCCTGAGTTCTTGTAATTCTTCTTCTTGGCCTTGTACTTGGGGTTGATGCATTCCCACTGTACCTACACCAAAAGGGTGAGATGTGAGCATCTTCAAAAGGAAGTCAAGTCATTGAATGAGACCAAGCTCCTGGATGCTTCTGAGGACACACACACACATGGATGGCTGGAAAATGGTCTCTAAGTGGTACCTTTGGCATCCATAAGAATCGCAAAGGGATGTGATTGACAAAGACAATAGACTGCCTAGTGCATATTCTCATGCCTTCATTTCCCAGCATTGTGTCCTTTGATGGGCTCTTTGACTTCTTCATGCCTTGGATTTATCATCTCTGAAGCTGACCTCATGATTCATCAGTTCTCAGCCCTTACCTTGGCTCTCATTCCAGAGGATACTCTTTGAAGGATAGGATAAAAGCATTGGGAAATACTTTGGAAACAATTGTTGGATTAACTGGTAGTTAGTTAGAACAAGTTTCATCTCTTCCAGATTACAGACAATTTCATGAGCTAGAAACAACTGTGAGTCAAAAATCCAACAGTCACTGGACATTTCTGTTCCTAATCTTGAAGGAGCTAGGACGTCAGGCTTCTACTCAGGAGACAAAAGTTTATTCCTGACACTCAAAAATACCTGAAGAAGCAGCTTTGAAAGCAGATGTGAGCAGGATAGACTGACACAATGGCCTCCAATGACCTCAGTGCCCATGTATTAGTCATGTGACTTGTTTTGGCTAATAGGTCATTAAACACATGGTGAGAACAGAAGCTGGAAAAACAAGTGTTCTGAAGCTGAAGCTGCCTTTTTTTGCTTCTAAGTTTTATTTTTACCACCTTTATCAGAGGATAAAACCACCACCACCATCATCACTACCACCAGTATCACCACTGTCACCACCACCATCACCATCACCACCATCACTGCCACCACTATCACCATCACCACCATCACCACCACCACAAACACCACCACCACTACCATCAACACCATCACTACCATCACCACCACAAACAAAACATGCACAGAGAAATGCACTTGCCATCCCTGCTGCTTAGATACAAAAGTGTGCGAGTTTCGTGGCACCATAATAGGCAGAGAGAAGCTATCCTGGGTGAACAGATGGAATTGCCAACCAAGAAAATGTCAAGTAATGATGGCTGTTTTGAGACAGGAAGCTAGTGGGCAACTCATTACTCAGCAACAGATAACAGTAATGTCTCACTTCCCAAGAGGCTCCATCCATGACTCTGAACCACTTCCCTGGTCACTCTAAGCACATCAGGGCCACTCCAGATCCTGGTCTTCCAACCACAATGACTCTTCCCAGGAGGGTCTTGGAGACAGCCCTCCTATTTGGTATTGTAAAAATTTCCCTTGATAATCTCAAACTAAAGTTACTCGTGAATTGATGATTAGTTAAGAAATCACTGTGTTCCATCAGCATCATGACCCAGGAAGAAAAAGGAAGCTTGAATGATAGATCTACTCTTTTTCCCTCTGATATGTTATACTGGGGTCCTCAGGTTCAAGGTTCCCATCCTCTCACCTATCAGATTGAGCTGTATCTTCCTCTTCCCTCTTTAAATAATACTTACACAGTAGCCAAAGCAGTCTCTGGATATACATGTGTGCATATGTACGTGTGTGTGCTTGTACATGGGCACACATGTATATGTATGTGCAGGCCATAGATCTACCTCAGGTATTTGGTCCTCAGGAGAAATCCACCTTGTTTATTGAGATAATATCATTCACTGACCTGGAGCTTTCTAGGTAGGCCAGGCTAGCCTGTAAGCCCCAGCTATCCTCCTATCTTCTTCTCCCTACAGTCGGAGCATGCCACCATGCCTGGCTTTTTAAACATGAGCTCTGGGGATTAAGCCCAGGTCTTTATGCCTATACAGCAATCACTTTATCAACTGAGCTATTGCCCCAACCTGATGACACAATATTTAAGAAAATTTGAACCAGTTTGATCTTTTCTAGCGTCATCCAATGACGCTTTCTACAATGGTTGGGATATTCTGTGTCCTTGTTAACCAATACAACAGCCACCAGTTGCATAAGGCTACCGAGCACATGGAATGTGGCTGATTTTACTGATAGATGGATCTAACTGTGTTTCCTAATTTAATTTTAATGATCTTTAATGATTTTAGTGATCTTTTCAGCTAATAACCTGTAACATACTTTGTAATTAGATGGTTTCTATCCTATATTTTAGAAACTTAACATTTATTTATCTGAGTACATGTATGTGCATGTGTGAGTGTGTGCATGTATGTGCACGTGTGAGTGAGTACATGTATGTGCATTTGTGAGTGCATGTGTGTGTGTGTGTATGTGTGCACATGTAAATGATCCATGCATATGTGTGGAAGTAAGAGGACAACTTACAGGAGTTGTTTTTCTTCTACTTTTTTTGGATCTCAGGGATCCAACTCAGGCCACCAGGCTTGGCAGCAAGTACCTTTATCAGAGAAAATCCAAAAAAAGTAGAAGAAAAACAACTCTTGTAAGTTGCCCACATACAGGATAGAAACCATCTAATTACAAAGTGCCTTTGCAGTTCTATCTTTCCTTTTGAAATAACATTTGTCACAAGTTGTAACTGCCTTTTAATTTTTTGTTTACTCTATTCATGTTTAGATCTTACTTTGATACCCACCAGTCTGTTAGCTTTAGGAGAACAGAAACAGTATTGGCAGGATTGGTCATTGTGTATCTAGAGCCAGACACACAAGATGTTGTAAAATCACCGGAGAAGAGAATGGTCCCCAGCAAATAAATGTGTCAGCATAGAGGCTCGATGTGGAACGAAATTTTGCTAGCATCTCACAGATACAGAAAGTACAGTGGCTTGTACTTCATGGCCTCATTGGGAATTACAGATTTATCTCTGTTTATCTGGAAGTATCTAGCCTTGGTGGTCTTGAATTATGATAGATGGTATAATTTTACTTTTAATGGCCTCTTGGGAACCCAAAGATTCAATGTTTCCCATATTTATTGATTTGCCTATTTCTGTTTATAGAGGAGAGCAAGATACAACTTTATGAGACACTTCAGAATGGCAGAGGTGGTAATGGTAAGCTGGCATTGACTTATTAGCTCAATAGGGACTGTCTCTGTACATTTAATGGAGCCACAGTTTCTCTAGCTGGGTTTCTTAGTAGCCAAAGAGTGATGGGTTATAATTTAGAGTTGACTTTAATTGTGGCCCTTGGGAAAGTAGTGCCACTTTTCCGAGATTGCATAGCTAAAGGAAATTAGACCTGCACTCATTGAACCACTCTGGTTTCCCCATGGAGAAATTGCTATTTCAGGGTCACAGAATGGTTTTGGGTTGGGAAGGTTCTAGAATCAAATCCCACTGTCTTCTCTTTTCACCAGATTCATTCATATGTGGAAGATTAGCTGTTAGCATTTCCATTTTTCATTAAAGGTGCACCCTAGACAATGTCTGGAGCAACACCACCTACCTGTTTCCCTTCCATGGCTCCTCTCATCTCCTTGAAGGTGGAGGTGAACTCTCCAATAAAGTCATGCTTGCCATTGGAGTCCCAGTCCCACACTATGCACTGCAAGACAAAAGGATGATCGTTTTCCCCAAGGCTCTTATTCTAGCAGCTTCAGGCAGTGAGGACTTTATGAGGAAGAATGTAACAGTTGCTTAGTCTGCAACACAAGCTTGATGTAATGATATAATATCCCTTTGCTTTCTAGAGCTTTTTCCTTGGCTATGTTGGCCACAACCTACAGATAGCCCTGTGACACCTCAGTCACTGTGACAACTTATTCGTGTTCTCAGAAGAAACCAGTAAGTCCCAGGGGAGAAAGGGATGCCTCTCTGGAAGAGCCATCTAGTGAATGTCAGCCTGAGTCATGAAGGTAGTTGTTCTACTGCATTTCAAATGTCTTTTTATCTCCATTTCCAATAAAAAATAATCCAGACAGTCTCTGGTTTATAGCTGGGGAAAATGTCTGAGTTCAAAAATTTGTAGTTTCCAGAACAGTAGCCTGTTAGTGATTTTGGTTGAGTGCTATTATTCTTATTTTTCTATTTTCTTAGTGATAAAAGTACAATGCCAACAAAAGCAAATGGAAAGGTTAAAAAGTGAAAGCTTTCATGGTTCCTGCAGGAGAAATGGATGGATGACAGTGAACAATATTCCACATCCATCATTCAGCTGTGGTTGTCTATGTCTAACCAGAGAGATTCATCTACTGCTGTTAAGGTGAGATTCTGGGTGTCCTGGCAACAATTCCTATAGTGACTAGATTAAATCAGCAACACGGCCTCTGATTGGGTACATAATTAGGTGAAAAGGAAGGTTCTAATTTTTTTTCCTAGAGTGAATGTTAGTCTATGGTTTTTACAAATAGCACCACATTTACATTTTAAGCCAAGGGAGCACCACAGAAGGTCAAGAGAAAGACTGTTACTTGGAGGTACCTTCTAGAAAAGCAGTGTCCTAAAGGTATCTCTCTCTTCCCTCAGGCTTCATATTCCTACTGTCCAGCCTGTCCAAAAAGTTCAACTGCAGAACTGTTCCTGGATCTGGTGGGGCTCCTTACACATATACAAAGAAATGTGTCCCAGCCACAGCTACATCCTTACTCATTTAATTTTTGTTACAATAAATTGAACCTACATCCATGTAGTTACTACAAATTGGAAATGGGTACCACTCCCAATATTTGTCTTTACTGCCACACGCCACACATGGGTCATCTCTGTGCTGTCTGCTCTACATTGCTCAACTCCATTCCTCTCGTCTCCTCTCCTCTCCTCTCGTCTCCTCCCGTCTCCTCCCGTCTCCTCCCGTCTCCTCCCGTCTCCTCCCGTCCCCTCCCGTCCCCTCCCGTCCCCTCCCGTCCCCTCCCGTCCCCTCCCCTCCCCTCCCCTCCTCTCCTCTTCTCTATTTCTTCTAAACTACTAACTACAATAGCCACCCAACTGGCCTCCCGGCCTCCCCTGTATTCTCCTACCTTTATGAACCATTAATTATGCTAATTGTTTGCTTTGAATAAAAGTGAGTATTTATAGGTTCTGAGATCTTTCACAATTTGATCACCATCAATCTCCTCAAATTTACACTTTATAATTCATGCTTAGAATATTTTAAAAACATTTTCTTTACTAATAAAAAGTAAGGTTGGTGGGATTATAAAACACTTGTTTTGCTAAGACTTATTTTTCTGAGGCATCTTGAAAAAAAAACCTAATTTCTCAGCTTTTCTCACCTTAAGCATGGAGGATTTGTTACAATAATCCATTTGCTTAGAAAACAATAATAAATACTTTCTGTGAAGAAAGAATGCATAAGCACAGACTAGAAGGGAAGAGGTGAGGATAAACGGAAATACTTTGCTAAAACAAGGAAAACCTTAGTTGATAACCAGAGACCCAGGGGTGAGGACTGAGAACAGTTTCCATCCGAAGGCTGAGGATAAACTGCTGTACAGTAGCTCTTGAATGTTCTTCAGAGACCCATGCACTGAAGACCTAAGCTTGATCTTCATCCTGCATAACTATTAGAACATGGTGGAACTTTCAGGAGATGAGGCAGAGAAGATGGTTACTTGTAGAACAAAGAGCATCATGCTTCTGGTCTGGAAACAAACTAGAAAGCAGTGACTGAGAGCTGAGAAGCAAGCAGGAGTGGGGAGGTGGGGCTGGCAGGTGAGTTTGGAGTGGACACCACACAAGCACTGTAGAGGTAACTAAATATTGTAGCGATAAGGATTCTAGTTCTTTGTGTGTACCTCTATGCGTTTGTTTGTGCATATACATGTTTATGTATATGTTACATAGATATGGGTGGGGATGTGGGTGCATGTGTGTAGCCCAGAGAACAACACTGGGTGTCTTCCTTTCACTTTCTACTTTAATTGAGGGAAGATCTCCAACTGAACCAATCTAGCTAGACTTGCTGGCAAGCAAGCCACAGGAATCCTCCCGTCTCAGTCTTGCCAGTACTGGGATTATAAACACACATTGGCACACCTAGCTTTTTATACATGGGTGCTGGGGATCAAACTTGGGACTTTATGCTTGTACAGCAGGCAAGAACGTTATTGTCTCAGCCACTTTCCCAGGCCCTCAGAGAACTTGAAACATATTATGGGCATGCAAAATATTATAGTAAAACCCATAATTATTAATAATTAATATTGCTAATAAAATAAAAACATTTAGAAATCATCTGAATTCTATGCATTACTATTAGAAACATTCATGCTTTTTGTGTGCTTTATTCTTTCTTTAAGTATGTCTCCTTTCTATTTTTAAATAAACCCCAATTTTGCTTCACAACAAAAACCACCTCCATAACCAAAAAGAGAACCCCACAACAAAAAGGGAAATTTTGCTAAAACTCATTTCTTAATTTCCATTAATGTTTTGGTCTTTCAGTTTACTCAGCTGAGAAATGCTAAAAGTAAATTATGATCACAGAGAGGCTTAAATATTGTCTTAATTAAAGAAAAAAATCCCATGATCCTCCCATTTATAAAGTTAGCCTATGGTGCTTTGACTTTGCCTGGTTTTCCTTCCTACCACAGACTAAGGCTACATTTCTTTGTCCTCTTCGGTTTGGGGGTGGCCATAGGACCTTTACAAGGTGAAGAAGTACAAGCAAATGTTCTGAGCACTTTCAGAAGGAAGCATGGAGGACCAGGATGTGTTTTCATGGTTAATCTTTGCCTGTGCCTTGGCAACCTAAAACACAGTAGCTGTTTTGTTGACCTGAGGCCCTAACTGAAGGCTTCACAGCACAGCTCCCTGATGATTTATGATTGACATAGACACATACACATAGGAAACAAAGCTCCACCACTCCCAGCCTTGGAGATTACTGTACAGTCTGCTGAGAACCACTTATGGCGTGGCCATAGGACAAGGACTTGTGGACATGTTATTTATTGTAACTCCAAGAATATATAAAACCAGAAATTTGAAAAGAAGGAAGCAAAAAAAAAACTTACTAAGAATTAAACTATCTTAAAACCCAAATAACATGTTCACAGAGATTCTGTTTCATTGCTATAAATATCCAAATAGAAGCGTGTGTGTGTGTGTGTGTGTGTGTGTGTGTGTGTGCGCGCACACGTGCATGCGCTTGGGCACGGTAAGGTTAGTTCTAGTTGCAGGGTGCAAAATAGACCCAATAGATAGCCTGGCTTCTTTTGGTTGAAATGCTGAGTATGCTGGAGAGTTTTTGACTTAAGACTGGCCTGTAGCCAAGTCTGTGGGGGCGATTTTGATTAATGATTGGTGTGAGGAAGCCCAGCCCACTATGGGTTGTGACATTCCTGGGCAGGTGGCCCTGAATTGTATAAAAAAGCAAGCTGTGAGCCTTGGGGAGCAAGCCAGGAAGCAACATTCCTCTGTAGCCTCTGCTACCATGCCTGCCAGAGTTCTAGTTTCTTTTCTGCTCAGTTTTCTTCTTGACAGATTGTGATCAAGACCATATATGGCAAACAAACCCTTTGGTCCCCAGGTTGCTTTTTGTCATGGCGTTTATCACAGCAAACTAAGGCACTAAGCAATGTGATACAGCTTTGGAAAGAATTGTTGAGAGTCTCTTTTTGTTCTTCTAATGGACAGTAGGGAATCACTCAATAATTCATGCATTCACAAAGATTGCTTATGATGAGGACTAGGATATGAAGCCTATTTACTTCCTTTAGTTCTCTTCCATCTGTCTGTCTGTCTTTGCTAGTTTCTCTTTAGTAACAGTCACTTATATGAAGCAAGAACCAGAAGAAAGCTTACTGGGCCTAGACATAAAAGAAGAAAGTCCCCCGAGACTTCCGCTCAAGGCTTATATAACAACTGTGTCCTATCTAATGCCTGAATCTGACACTTGAAGACTTGCTCTCTGCCTTTGGCAGGAGCCTATTAATTAACAGGCACAGAAGACAGATGCAGACAAGAGAAAAAAAAGGGAGATGGGCTTTTAAACCTTGGCTTGCACAGGCAAAGAGAAACGGAGTTCCCTTCTTTAGGAGAAGTGACACAAACATGTTACTCTTGTTTCCCATCATGCTTAGGTTAATTTTTCCTCCTTCCTCTGCCACTCACAACATCACAAATGTCTACAAAGTGTTCTCTAGCTGGTGAGGAAAGTGAGGACCACTGGCCCCTCCTAGGAAGGGGGAGTGGAGCTTGAGAGATCTCCTGTGAAGATCTCCACGAGCAGGCACATGGCCTCAGACTTTCATGGGACCTTGTTTGTATATTTGGTTTTGGTTTTTTGAGGAAGCGTTTCTCTGTGTAGCACTGGCTGTTCTGGAACTTCCTCTGTAAAGTAGGCTGGCCTCAAACTCAGAGATCTGCCAGCCTCTGTCTCCTGAGTGTTACAACGTGTATCACCTGGCTTAGCCCTGCTTGTTAAGGTAGCAAGCTTCTCATATTTGTGGCAGTTGTGAAATTTTATCTTAAACCTCTCGGAAGGGGCCCCAAAGGATCGAAGGCACTGAGGCATGCAGATAAAGTAGTCCATCACTTGCTGTCGAGCTCTGATGCAGCTGAGAAGTAAGTACATCTTGGTGAAAAGCAAACAAATCAACCTTC